TCTGTTTTGTTTTTTGACTTTTTTGCGTGTGTTTTTTTGGGTTTTTTGTTGTGTTTGTTTGAAACCCCCTTTTGACCTTTCTAATTGCGGCTTAGACAGGCGGCAAAGAAAAAGGAAATGCCATTGCAAAAGTTTTGCCTGCTCTCCCTCTACCACCTTCCACCTTGCCACGAAAATATGTGTGCGTTGAAAGCTTCTGACAAGTCCAGTGCTGCGCTGCTTGCCCCGCTCTCTCCCAAGTTATTGTCAAGTTTTGGTCCCGTTTTTGTCTCACTTTCTCCCTCTCTCTCTCTGTCTTTCTCGCTAAGCTGCCACATTAGCAACTGAGGTGCAAAGTTTACGAGTGTCCTTTTCACTTCTTCTCTTTTTTTCATGTCTTCTTTTGCTTTAACCTGGAAATTACCCTAGATACCCTTTTGCAGCGGAGTCTGATCGGGCTCTGGAAATGAGCTCTGGAAATGACCAACTAAAAATCGTCAATCAATTAGTGTGTGTTGATTTTTGTTTGGCAATCATTAAGTATAATAATTAGTGGTAAATTATTTATTTCGAAATTTACATTTTGCTCCGAAATTGTTTCCTTGCATTCATTTTACGATCTTACACCAATGACGAATATTTTTCCTCATTTTGAGTGCCTTCTCCAGGGCATTTGGCGCTTCGATTCTGTCCATTTGGTTTTTGTTTTTTGTTTGTTGTTTTTTTTTGTGTTTTTTGTTTTGGCACTGCTTATGGCTGTTGTTTGTTTGTTGTTTTCTGGGTATATTTTATGTTTATTTGCTGCTGCTGCTGCTGCTGCTGCTTTTGCCCCTGATGCTGATGTGGATGCTGAGTGTAAGTGATGATGAGAAGCTCTCTCGCTGAAAGAAGTAGCTGAGTGGCGAGTCCCTCTCTCACTCTCTCTTGCTTACTCTCCTTGCTCGCCTGTCCCCGTTTCTGGCAATTTTTCATGTGCACTGGCCCATTTAAATTGACATTCATTGCATTTAGGCAATTAGACTAATTGACTTTTAACCAGTTCGCGGCACATGTGAACCAGTGCACAGTACCCCTGCCCACCTGCCCACCTGCTCCCGCTGCACTGGCCTCCTGCTTAACCATTCGTAAATGTTGCATGGCTGAACGACAGTGCCGCAACTGTGCACAAAATGAGGTTTTTGCAGGTAGAAGCTGCGGCAACTAATGAGGCATTTAGCTTATCGATATGTTGCATTGATAATCGACCATAATGAGCAGAAGCGATGGCAGATTAAACAGTTGGAAATTTAAGCATTTAGAGGGAGAGTGGATGGCATTTAAGCACCGCCAAAGAAGTGTTCACGAAGATGATCGACTGGGCATGGGGGTGGAAACAAAACCAAACTAGCGGGGGTCCGTGAGTCACGCTTGCAAGCTTAAGCGAAGGCCGCGCGCAAGCTGTGTGGATCGTGAGAGCGAGTGCAAGCTGTGTGGATCGTGAGAGCGAGTGCAAGCTGTGTGGATCGTGAGAGCGAGTGCAAGCTGTGTGGATCGTGAGAGCGAGTGCAAGCTGTGTGGATCGCGAGAGCGAGCGCCAACAGCACTGTGGATGGGTGCGCTAACAGCGTTAACAGCCAGGCTGTTAACGGGTAACGGAAACACGCTGTTACGCTGTGCTGTTAACAGTGCTGGCGCTGCTAGTCTGAACAAATAAATGTTAAACGTTTGTTCCTTGTTCTTGAATGTTTTTGATCTGATTGAAACAATGGCACAATCAATCGGCTGACTGCCTGCCACAAGACTGTTTACCTGTCACTTGAACTCCGTGCTGCTGCTGCTGCTGCTGCTGCTAGAGCCAAAAGGGGAGCAGGCAGCAATGGTGGATGACTGATGTTGCCGTACATGCGGTGGGTCCCAAGCTAAAACGAGATGCAGCAAGTCAGCTGCGCTTAGCGCTGCACTCACTCAAGGCAGATGGAACACAACCACGGGCATGGGGGTGGGGAAACGTGGTCACGAAACCCACTCCAGGCTCATTCATTCATTTGCTCAGCCAGCCATTCATTCATTTCCTTGATTATGTTTCTTATCAATGATAAATGAATACGAACGTGGCTACAACTCTCTCTCTCTGTCGTACTTGGGTGCCACTTGCCAGCCAGCCAGCCAGCACTCAAAATGCCAGCGCCAGCAGAGCGGGCGGTTCTATGTCTCTGTGTGTGTGTCTGTGTGTGTGTGTGTGTGTGTGGGAGTAAAGTTTTGGGTGTACTTTGGCTTGGCAGACACAGTTTTTCGTTCGAGTTTAGACCTTGGACTTACCTGTGGAAAATAAATTATTTAATGCCGATTTTTACTTTAAAAATATTTTTGGTTAAAATACATTAATATTTGTTATTAATCATTAGTTCTTATATTTATATCTCTGTTCTATTCGATATATGTTCTCCCTGCGATGTTCCCTTCCTATTGCACAAATCCCATCGTTCGCTGCAGCGAAAGGCCACAAGGGAAACCAGTTCTGAAGCGCCGATGAACCAATGAAACTGCTACTGACCCAAGCCACAGCACACCGCACTGCATCGAAGCAGGACCCGGACCCAGACCCAGACCCAGACCCAGACCCAGGCCGTGGCTGGGCAGCATCAGCATCAGGGCGGTGCGGTGTGGATCTCCGCCATCACTTGATTGCCACAACGACTTTCGAGCGAAAAGTTCTTTGTGGTTGAGCGTTGGACGAGGAGTGCATGGGGGCCAAAAATTCACGCTGGAAATCAGCTTCAAGTGGGTTTGGTCTGTGGGTCGGTTGGCCGGTTGGCCGGCAAATGTTCCAGCACTTTAGAAATAAAATTTTTAACAACTCGTCGAGGCGGCCGCTAAATGCGTCGACGTTTAAACTCCCCAAGGGCGGTGGGCTGGGGGTCAGGCACACCTGAGGTGCGGGTCGGACCTGACCTTCCGCTGCCAGGCACATTCCGAGGCAGAAACTTTGTGCACTGCAGATAAAATATGCAAAAAGGGAACGGACCAACCAACCATCATCATCAGCAGCAGCAGCAGCAGCAGGCACACATTGCAACATGTGGCAGGCGGCGGGAAGATGCCCCCGCAGCTTTTGATGTACCTTCTTAGGAATTAATAATGCCAAGAGCTGCAGGCAGGAGCCTCTGCCCCACTTACGGACTAACTGGCAATATTCTCACGTAATTATGTGACGCCTCCAAAGCCCTCGATAATAAGACGGAGAGGGGGGCAAAGGCAGAGGCATCGATTGTCCACTGCTTGCCTTTTGCACTGCTTGTCTCTGCCACTGCTTGCTGCATTATTTATGGCAACTGACGTTGAATAATTAGCCCGCCGCTTTTCCAGGCTTAAAACTGTCCGCGGCAACAGCAGCCCGCCCCTCCCCACTCTCCAATTTCTATCAATTCTGATATATGAGTAGTCAATGGAGGCCATCAATATTTTAACGGCGGCTAATGACTGCTGCTGGGTGGCTAAAGGGTGCAGCAGGGACAAGCCAGGACAGGGCCAGAGAGCGCTCTAATGAGCAGCAGAAATTGTGTAACTCAGCTGGGAAACTCTGCAACTTCCTGGCCTAATCCTGGATCGGCGGCGGATCAATTGGAGCGGAGCCAGAGAAGCGTCACCCAAGTGGCCGGGCTCCAGGCACAATCTGCTCGTCTGCTCGTCTGCTCGTCATACTCAAAGCCAACATGCTGGCCGCACCTGCGGGTGTGTCATAACTTTGTCGAGTGCCACTCAACACACACTGAGACGAGGAGAAGCCAGCAGCCAGCAGCCAGCAGCCAGGCACCAACCAAAGTGAAATCAAAGCAGCAAAAGTACAAATTCGCGCCCATTTCAAAAAGGAAAAAATGAAAACAGAAACATAAAAAAAAAGGTACAGCCGCTCAGCCAGAGAGGTGGAGCCGCTCCTAGAGGTAGGTGGTTGGACTGGGTGGTTGAGCACCTCCTAGAGGTGGGTTCACAGCTGGCAGCCAACTGAGCAAAGTGCGACCCACCGGGGCCATGTCATGCGGAGCAGCAGCAATCACGAGCACGGGGCAACGTGTCAGTACAAAAGCAGCTGGGAAATTGTTGGAAAAGGTGGCAGCAGCAGAAATAAAAGCTCGAGAGGGCAGATGCTAGTGGCAGGCTCATGTCTACAAATATTTGTGGGTTTATCTTTAAGATTTATTGAAAGAAACAATGACAAATGATGTGGGGAAAGGTGTAGAAATAATTAAGGATTAAAGCAAAGAATAAATAATAAATATCAAATAATAATTCATTTGGTGGCAGCAACGTACCTCTGACCTGACTTCAAGTGGGAAGACATCGAGAGACATGTGAGAATATTTCACAACTGTACTTTCTCGCTGCTGCTATTCGTGCCATGAAATAAAGCAAATAAATCAAACGCCATTCAATTTAAGTTCGAAGTCCAACGAGGCACATCTAAAGTAGCTGGAGACAGCACGGACAGCTGGCACCCGAAAATCAGGCCGCAAAAATGCGTGACACATGCGTCGTATGCGTAATCTGAACTCTGTGCAGCTGATGGAAGGCGAAGGTGAAGGTGTCTGCCTGAAGTCTGAAAAATGTTTTTCCGTTCCCTTTGAGACCTGTGTCAATTTGTTTGCCGTCTGCCCCTTAGATGACAATTGAAGGGAGCGAGAGGCGCGAGTCGAGTGGAGCGAGTAGCCAGTAGCAGCGAGTAGGTGTGCACGTGCCGCCACGTGCTTTCGCTTCCATATTCTTCTCAATGGCCTCAATTTACATTTCACTGGCCTTTAAGCTGCCAAACAAACGGAATTCGTTCCTGTTTACTTTGCCATCAGGCGGCGGCAATTGATTTAACAGCGTCTGGCATTTAAGGCTCCCACGAAGAAGATATTTTGTTTGGCTAAAGGGAAGGAGGGAGAGCCGAAAGATGAAAACATTTACTAAGCATTACTTGTGATCAAGTAGGACTGGAGTTTCCAGTGTAGAAAGTTGAAGTTTCAGTTGTCCAAACAGGTGTTTCTACTTTTTGTTGGAACATGAAGAGGGAAGTGCTGAAAATTCAGGGACTACTCGTGCCCCACCATGTGGTGCCCATTAAGGGCGATGGCTCCTGCCTGTTTCGTGCGCTCTCCTTTCTGATCTTCAACTCGCAGAAGCAAGCACCGCTGGTGCGTCGGCAGATTGTTCAGCTGGTGGCCAGCGATTGGCACTCATTTGGCATACTATCGCACGATGCAAACGGCGATAACTATCGCAGCTCAGCTGACTATCTGGAGGAGATGTCGCAGCCATACTGCTATGGCGGCTACTGTGAACTGAAGGCCGCCGCGCGCATTTATAACTACCGCTTTGAGGTCTTTCGCTCCGGCGAGCTGTACGCGGATGCCGGCAACCATGGTCGAGCCGTGCGACGTTTGAGATTCACTCGAGATTTATCCTGCGGCCACTTCGATGCCTACGTGCCAGCGTAGAGCTGGACCAACTGTACACTGAAACACACACTCACACGGCACACACTTGTCAGAAGCTTCCCCAGGCACATCAACGGCACAGCAAAGAAAAAAAAAGAAAAACTGAGAGAAAAACCCGGAAGTGCTTGGTTGGGCTTTTCTTTTCACAGTCTTACCGCATTTCGTGATTGAGAGAGACTGAGAATTGGGCCCTAATTTTCGTTGTGTTGTTGGGTTAAATTTAAAAATTAAAATTATATTTGGAGAGTCCACAACTTGAGAGCTCGACGGGAGCAGCAGCAGTAAAGGTATTGCTGATGGGTTTTCCATTCTTTCAGCTCCTTCCTTCCAACCGAACAGCAGGGAGTCAGCTGTCGATAACTATGACACTTGCGTCTAGCCCGATGGTTGGTACATGAAAAGGTTATTAGCAAATCCAGTTCAGCCAAGAAAGGAACCAAAAAAACGTATCTACTGTGCCACATGTCCATTGAACTTGGTTGCATGTCCCGCAAGTGGCTGCTGTTGCCCATTTTTGTTGGATCTTGGGATGTGGGGCTAGCAGGAGGGCAAGTGTGAGGGTACTTATCGGGCAACACAGCTGGTCATGTATGAAAAATGTTGAGGTAAGTGCTGGGGGATTGAGACTGGATTGGAGCGGCAGTATTTGGAGGATGCTAAGCTTAGTTGTGTATTTTTGTGGATCTTGAGTACAACTCAGAATGCATTCTCGAACTTAGCTCTTCTGATTTTGTTGTCTTTTGTTCTTTGTTTATTGCTGAATACACGTCGAAGCATTTGTTAATGTCAGCGTATCGAAGTCGTTAATCAAAATCACCTTGATCGATAAATGTTCAACAGGTCTGCCACCTGCCATCGCTTCTCCTTGACTCCTCCTTTTGTCGTGGCTTTGATTAAGCACAGCAGCGGCAAAACTTTTGTTGCCAGTGGACGGATGGCTGCTCTCCCGTGTAATTTTTGTCAGTTTTAATGTCAGTTCACCATGCCATCAGTGCCCTTAGAGCAAACTTTCCCTTCGATTTGAGTTTTTGTTTTTTATACCCTGGGCAGAATGAACAAAATATAATTGCGAGTGGCTGACTATTCCGCCGACTGCTCGCCCTCTCTCTCTCTCTCGCTCAGTGTGACTGGCCCTTAGACTGCGCCATGAAGAAACTATATAAGGAGGTCTCGTCGGCAAAAATTAGGCAAACGTGCGCGTGAAAAGTGCGAGTGAAAGGGCTCTTGCTGTAAGTGTGAGTGTGCTGATTAATCATTTGAAGGCAATGTGAAAAAACATAATAATTGTTTCATCATTTAATTATAGTTACTCCTTATAGTTACGTCATGGACTGCACTAGCTGGTTAGCTGGCAGCGCTGTTAGCAGCACAAAGCAACAACATGCTGCCGCTCTTCGCTAAAAATAGCATGTAGCCGCTCTCGGCTCTCAACTGCGCTCTCCCGATCGACACGGGCTTGTAAGCTAGATTTAATCTCGTTCCACCCCCAAACTCTAACCGCCGCCTCAACGAAAAAGAGTGCAAGCGACAACGGGAGCAGCCACCAAAGAGAGAGCAAACAAACGGTGAAGCATAAAAACAGTTAGAGTATCGGTCACTGGATTAGTCACCTACATATGTATGTACATGTGTACATATATGCATGAATGCATGCACGTCATGTGTGTACATAGAAGCCAAGCTGCTGTTGTCACTGATCGAGGAGTAACTGCGAAAAAGATTTCGTCAGAGAGCGTACGAAAAAATGAGACGGGAGCGTAAGCGTGCGAAAAAGTTCAATTCGAATTAATGATGTTTGTTGTTGCCTCGCAGATAGAACAAAAGGGAAAGAACAGGGTTGGCATACCGAGTGCATGTAAGCAGGTAGCAGGTCGCTGCAGTTGGGTACGCAGGGAGAGAGCGTGAGAGAGAGTAGGAAGGTGACATTCAGAGAGCCAGCAAGACCAGCTGGTAGGAGTAAGTGAGACAGGCACAGAAAGACTGAGTGACAGCAGTGAGAGGAGCTTCTGCCGTACACTTATTTTATGCTTCCCCGACTCTCTGCAGCCACGCACAATCAATATCTTAAACGCTTTTCCTTGAGCCATTAGCTTTTCATTAGCAACTTTTATGCGTGTCGATTTTCGGTGGGATTTTAATTAGTGCCAAGCCACCAGCAAGAAGCGTTCGATTTTCAATGTTTCTTTTTTATGGCACGCAACTGATAAAAAAAAAAATATTTTGAATTTTTTGAGTTTGTGTTGTCTTTTTTTTGTGGGCGTTTATGGTCCCCCGGTGCCATGAGTGTTTACAAAATCACTTTACGATCCAAATTTGATGCGGTGTACTAATGACAGCTGCAGATAGCGCACAGTGGGCACAGTTGGCATGAAAAGTGGCTGGCCTGAAGCTGGCCCATTTGTGTCTTATGCTGTACACATTTTGCAGCCCACTGTTTGGGCACTCGTTTAATGGCTGGGCGGGCGATTATTTATGTGAGCGCCACCTGAGCCCCGGCCCAATGGCTTCCGTTTAACATTCTGATGGGATCATTATTTCTGTTTTTCTTTTTCTTTATCTTTATCTTTATCTTTATCCTTTTTTTCTTACATCCTTTGGTAGTCTTTTAATTAACCAAAGCTTTTGGGTGTGTGTGGAGGAGGCAAAAAGGGGAAGCCGTGCGGCAGAAGCAGCTCAACGTGCAGCACACGGAGGCAAGCTTAAAACTGGAAACTCAATTAGGTTGCATGCGAGGAGCTCGTCGTTGCCTTGTCAAATACGTGGCATGAAGTTGTCGGCAAAGGGGGCCAGCAGCGGCAAAATCACAGCGACAACAGAAAGTACAAGGGAAGTACAACAATTACACGAGGCAGCAGCAAGGGGAAGGGGAAGCGACAACACTAAATACCCAGCAAGTGGAAAGTACAAAACGGAAACGGAAATGACACACATACTCGTGTACTCGTCTCGTACTCGTACTCGGAGAGAGCCAGCGAGTAGCGCTAAAGTTGTGGGGCGGGGAATTTGTGTGACGCCGCTTGTAATTCATAGAAATAGCCTCCAATACATGGTACGTCCTACCAGCCCCTACAGTCTGCGACCGTGTCAGCATTTTTAACTCTCATGTGTTAAAAACGAGATCCGGGCAAAGAAAAACGAGACCGGGACACGCCGGGGCCAAACATCAGCCAAGCTCTCGTTCCTCCTCTCTGCCTTTTGTTGCTTTCTTTCCTTTATCTGGTTCCTGCTACAAGCTGGCCAGCGAGAGCGCAGGGCGCTTCAATTCAATTCAACCGCGCCAAGTTCATTGTTTATTTTTCATTTAATTTTACACTATTTTTTCCTCCTTTTTGTTTTGTTTTTTGTAACAGCTCATCTCAGAGAGCGTGTCCAGTTTGTGCCATTCTGGACACCCTGGAACGACTAGCACACAAGCAAGACAGCAAAGGGATACAGATCGAAAGATATAATCAGCTGATTTACCACAAGATGAGGGAATGCATCTCCCTCACTTGTCATCTAACATTTTGGTGTCCACTTCTGATACTCTCTCGCATTGTTCTCAGATCTCCAAACACAACACACCGATGAAGCATAATGCCAACGAATGGTTTTAGCTATCAGGTTAACAATCGAATAATTTTTAATTTGTTTCCCGTACTTACATGTGAACTGAGTGCCCGGTATTAAAGTGTCGAGGCACGTGTGCCGCAGCCTCAAACGTAGCGACTGGCATTTCCTTTTCTTTTTTTTTTCATCTGGCTCGTCGGCAAAATTCAATTATGGAAAAGGAACGAGACGAAACGAAACGAAACGAAATGGAACGTACCGGAATGGACGTACGTCCGTGTACGCGACTGTTTGGAGCGATGTCACTTGGTGGGCGTAGCCTGGTTTGGGCTTCGGGTTGGGGCCTCGGGTCTGGGGCCTGGGGTCTGGGGTTCAGCTGAAGAAGCGCAAATTTTCGGCGCGTAAATGACAAAAGTTTTGTAGCACTCGAATGTTGATCTTTAGTCGGGTCAGGGGAGTGCCAGGGGTGTGGCAGCCTAGAACACACGGTAAACGGGGCAACATCGTTAGCTGGCTGACAGCACAGTGGCGGAGGGGTGCATGAGTGGGCGATGGTGCAAGCTGGGGAGAGTGGACTGTAAGTGGCATCCTTGAAAGTTGCGGCGAGGCGCCGCACGCAATTTGCTGCAACAACAACAGCAGCAGCAGCCCCACGGCCTCGCACACACACACACACACACACAAAGAGAATCAAAACAAAGGTCATTAGAGGGAGAGCGAGAGGGAGATGGGAAGTCCAAGCTTCTGTTGAGTGTTGGGAAATCTTCGACTGTCACGCCCACACACATCCCTAGCCAGTGGACTCGAGTCTGAGGCTGAGGCTGACAGCAGTTCAGCTGAAGTCGAGTCGAGTCGAATCGAGTCTAGTCCAGGTCGCAGTCCCACAAAAACGATGCCAAATTGTGATAAAGAACCATTGAAAATTGGAGTGTTTTGAGACTTGAATTTGCCTCCGAAATGCTGCATGAGAATGTCACAAAAAATGGTGTCCAATGGGAATTTGATGAAAGTTAATCATTTGCTTCATTCTGGATGAGCCTTTAAAGCAGCCTTAAACCGCTTTAAGCGCTCCTGCATGCTGCAATCTTTTTTAATAACAAAATTCATTTTAATACCCGAGGCCACATCATGCCCCATGCCACATACTTGGGCACTTATTGCAATAAACATGTCGCTCATCATTGGGCCATTAAGCATACAAAGTGAGGCAAAATCATTCAGACCTTTTGGCCTTTATGGCCACAAACAACAGCCAACAGCCACGGCCAACTCAACTCTTCACAAGCGCCCGTCACAGTCCTCGTGGCAGAATTTTGCGCCTCAATTAATTAAAATGTTTTGTTTTAAATGCTTGCCGCCCCGCCCTCATCCTGCAGTCGGTTTTGGGTGTGTAAAACGCTGATTGATATTTCCCGGTTAATAACTAAGGGTTCGGCACCTGTCTGTGCGGA